TTACCCTATAGGTTTAAATTCAAAGGTATCAACATCAAAATTTCTTTGGTTAAACTCCACAGATCATTACCCCCAGTTTCCGATTCTGCTCAGTCTCAAATAGAGGGGTCACACTGCCCAGTCTGAGCAAAGTCAGGGTTTCTTCAGCAGTTATAGCCTGGGTGATCGTCTACTGAAATTCGTGTAGTCTCTTCAAATCTGAGGAATTGAATTAGTTTATCACATTTTTTCTGCTTTTAAGTCCATAGAACACACAAGATTATCCCAGTTCTAGTCCCATACACACTCCATTTAGAAAACAAGCCATTCTGCAGCCCTTAGAGAAGTTAAACCAAATACTTGGAACTTAACCCAAGAGAAATAATGTTCCAAATACCAGTGGTTAATTTTATACCCATGTAACAGTTTCCAAAGGTCAAAGCAGAAAATCAGTGGTATCCAAGAAAAGGAAGGCAGCCTCAAAATTGCCATCAAATAAACCACCTCAAGACTCAGTAGCTTAAGAAAATAAGCATTTATTTAGTTCTTGAGCCTGAGGGGCAATGATTTAGGCTGAATTCTAGTATATGTCTAACATGGCAAACTTAGAATCAAGGGGCAGAAAAAACTTTTTTCTTTTCCTAGGATGAGCTATGAAGTCCCCTTGTAAAGGGCATGGTTACAAGAGGAGTGAAGAACTGGGGCCAGTAACATAATCCCTCTAAAATAATTACACAATTTGAACTAGGGACATTTCAGGGGCTCAATAACCACATGTGACTAGTGGCTCCCATGTTAGACCGTCCAGAGCTAGTGTCATTGGCCTCCTTGCAATTCCTCAAACCTGTCAGGGATTCTCCTGCCTCGGGGCCTTTGCATTTGCCATTGCCTCTCAGTGAAACACTCTTCCAGATGTGCAGATGGGTCACTCCCTCATCTCATTTGTTTCAAATGTCACATTTTCAATGATGACTTCCCTGTCTACCCTGTTTAAAATTGCAGCTCCTATCCCTGAGCACTATCTATATTCCTTGCCATACTTTTAATGGTATTTATTGCTATCTCGTATATTTTATATTTTAATTATTTATTATTTTTCTCCACTATAATGTAAGCTCCATAAAGACTGGGTATCTTTTCCCTGTTTAGTTCACTGTTATCTCCCCAGTGCCTAGAGCAGTAGTAGGCACCCAACACATATTTGTTGAACAAACTCTAGCCTTTCCATGCCTTTCTGCAAATACTAAAGAAATAAGTCAGTTAGAGTTATATTTGATAATTATAATTTATTATATCAGATTGTAAATCATAAGTCTGATTTACAATAAATCAGGCTTATGCATGAGAATCCCAAGAATTCCAAAGAACAGGTTTACCCACGTAAGAAGTCGTATTTCCAGACCCTCCCTTACATGAGCGATCAGAAGTAGGATTTGGAACCTTAATTAGAGTCAATTGAAAGAAAAATATCCTAAGAAGCCCAGTCCAGGCCCAGACTTACCCATTACTGTCCTTGTCTTTAGGGCTAGAAGATAACGTTTAAAGGTAATTTGCGTGGCTTCCCTGGTGGTGCAGTGGTTAAGAATTCGCCTGCGAATGCAGGGGACACGGGTTCGAGCCCTGGTCCGGTAAGATCCCATATGCCGTGGAGCAACAAAGCCGGTACGGCACAACTACTGAAGCCCGTGCGCCTAGAGCCCATGCTCCGCAACAAGAGAAGCCACCGCAATGAGAAGCCCGTGCACCACAACAAACAGTAGCCCCTGTTCGCCTCAACCAGAGAAAAGCCCGCGCACAGCAACAAAGACCCAACGCAGACAAAAATAAAAAAATAAATAAATTAAAAAAAAAAAGTAATTTGCTGTTTCTGTCTTTGCCATCCAGCAAAATATTAATGCTTGCTATCTGGTTTGTCTTATACACAATTATCTCTAAGGTTTACCTTTGATTGCAACCCTACATCTTTGTTCCACAGTCTTTCTAATACTTGGGTTCTCAAAGAGCAGCTATGCTCTTCATTTCTACTTGTCTAATTGGTCAGTAATTCTCCTATTGTTTTTATTGTCTCAGTGGCACCTCGGTGTCTCCTAAGTGGTAAGTCACTCTAAATCAGCTCCTTAGACAACTGTGGGCATCCATTTTACTGTAGGTCTCCAAGTAAGTAGATATTTGAGTCAATAAGCATAGCTTTGATTTATGCCAGTTTGACTTTCATTCATTTAACAAATATTTATTGAGAACCTAATATATGCTGAAAATTGTGCTATGTCATATAGCATTAAGTAAGATAGACATGGGTCTTGTCCCCAAAACTTAAAATCTACTTGGCAAGACAGAAAATTAAACAATTAATTACAATGACGATAAGGAGGGTGAGAGAACATACGGTGGACCTAATCTGGTCTGGGGAATGGGGTTAGGATGCTTCAATTTTTGATGACCCTGATATCATTTTCTTTTTAAAGCAACTTTTTGAGTGTTTTTTTCTTAAAAGAAAGAAATGGAAAATTTTATTCAAGCCAAATTTGAGGATTATAACCCAGGAAGAGCATCTATCTCAGAAAGCTCTGAGAACTGTTTACTCGAGGTATTTTTACATACAATAAAACTCATCAATCTCAAATGTACTATTTGATGAATTTTGACAAATGTATGCAGTCATACACCCACTCCCACAATCAACATAATTACATCACCCTTAGAAGTCCCCTCATGCCCCTTTGCAGGCAGTCTCATTCCTCCCATTCATCCTCAACTGCCGACACTTACCTGCTTTTTATTACTACAGTTTTTCCTTTTTTAGAATTTCATATAAATGGATACACATATTGTGTAGTCTTTTGTGTATGGTTTCTTTTACTTAGCTTAATGCTGTTGAGATTCACCTATGAATAGCTTTTTCCTTCTTATTGCTGAATAGTATTCCACTACGTAGATATACTCTAATTTGTTTATTCATTCACCAGTGGATGGACATTTGGGTTATTTCCAGTTTGAGGTTATTATAAATAAAGCTTCTATGCACATTTTTGTACATGTCTTTGTACATATGTTTGTATTTTCTCTTGGGTAAACACCTAGAAGTGTTAATTACTGAATCATATGGTATAAAAATTGCTAAGTTGTTTTCTAAAATGGCTTCAGCACTTTGCATTCCCACCAGCAAAGTGTGAGGGTTCCAGTTGTTTTGTATCTGCACCAACACTTGTTGTAGTTGGCCTTTTAAAATTTGGCCACTCTAGGATGTGTATAATGTTATCTCATTGTGTTGTGATTTGCATTTCCCTAATCAATAATAATCGCTCATCTTTTTGTGTGCTTAGTTGCCATGCATATATCTTCTTTGATGAAGTGGCTGTTCAAACATTTTGCCCATTTAAAAAAGTTGGGTTGTTTGCCTTATTATTTAGTTTAAAGGGGTTTATATACATTCCAATAAAAGTCCTTTGTCAGATATTTGTTTTGCAAATATTTTCTCCCCATCTCTGGCTTGACATTTCATTTTGTCAACAGTGTCTTTTCAAGACTGAAAGTTTTAATTTTGATGAAGTTCAATTTGTCAAATTTTTAGTGGTTCCTGATTTTTGTATCCTATCAAGATTACAAAGATTTTCTCCTATATTTTCTTCTGTAAGTGGTATAGTTTTAGCTCTTACATTTATCTGACCTGATTTTTACATACACTTCTGAAATTAATAAAATTGTTCAAAAAGAATAGGCATGGAAAACCAGAATGAAATTATTTAGCCTTTGTAAGACATCATCTCTCCCTAGGCCCCAGGTTTGATGTGACATTTTAGGGAATATTGTCTCTCACTTAGTTATGATATGATGACTTTCTTGATTTAGGTTTCTATTGATATCTGTTGTCAACGAGAGCAAAACCAACGTGACCTGCCAGTGTTCAGTGAATAGTTCCCTCAACTTGGACTGTTCTTTCTCCTTCTGAGAAGTAAAGGAAGGGAGACATTACGTGAGTTGACACCACTCCAGGCTCTCGTCCAAAACATTGTATGTGCCTCTGTCTTTCACATGAGACTAAATTTTCAAAACTCACCGGTCCCTACTACACTGCAAGCTGTTGAAAGTCAAGACCTGCGTGTTATTTTGTATCCTATGTTTGAGATGTAATTCAGTAAATGTCTTCTGAATGAAAGGAGGAATTCCTGGGTCTCTGCTGTTCTGCTGGTGAATGGAAGCTAACAGGTAGTGTGTGCTGTAGTTTCATTGTCCAATCCTCACGAGCTTGGACCACTTTCCTTTAAAGCCATCTCAGTATCCCTAGGGCTTAGCACAGTGCCTGACATGCAGTAGGGAACGAACGGCAAAGAGAGAAGGGGAAGGAAATTTGTACAAAATCCCAAATACCACTCTTTATGTCTTCAAGTAAGGAAACTGAGCAACCTTCAGATGTAACGTATGACGACAAATATTCGGGATATTCAACTCCTCCTGGGCCACACCACCAACACCTCTAGGTTAAGTTCCTTATTTCAAATCTTGTGGGCTTGCGTGGACCCACGCTTTCCTACTAGGAGAATGCCAGGAAGACTGAAATCCTAAGTCTGGTGGATTTATAAGACTCAGAACTCACTCCCTGCGCGCACGTCAGCCCTGGTTACTTAGCGACGGGATCGATCGCTCGGCGCTCGACTCGACCCGGCCGGACTGAGACGAGGCGTTCCGGGCCGAGCCTCTCACGGCCCGCCCCCTCCGGCCCGAGTCCCCGCGGCGCGCAAGCGCGGAACGGGGTGGGGTTGGGGGAGGGGAGTCGGTGCGCTGGCGCCGCTTGCGGGCCGTGGCGGGGAGGGGCGCACGCACAAGGGGCGGGGCAGCGGGCGCCGAGAGTGGCTGAGGAGCCGGAAACGCGCCTTGGAGGGTGCGGCCCTGAGGACACTGCGGGTTGGGCCGGGCCGGGCCGGGCCGGGCGGGAAACATTAGGCGAGCGGCCCCCGGAGCGGGGGGGGGGGCGGGGGGTCGTGCTGGCGGGGAGGGCCCCGAGGCGAGCTTTGCCCGGATGAGGAACAAAGCGGTGGGGCAGGCGTGCGCGACCCCCGCGCGGCCGGCAGGTGGGCTGCGCGCGGGGCGGGGCGAGGGCGGCCTGCGGGCCCCATGCCGGCGAGCGGGCGACTTGGCCGCCCTTGGGAGGCAGTGTCAGCAGGCCCGGGCTCTCTGGCGGCGAGGGGACGGGGGCTGCATCCTTCCCGTGTTTTGGTGACCGCCCTTGTCCTCCCCCTCAGGTTAGGTAGCCCCCCTCCCGAAGCTTCTGGAGGAAAGGCCCCGGGTGTCCCCCGGCATGCCTTATCTCGCGGCGGGGTGCGCGGCCGCCGGCCCTCGGGAGAAGTTGGGCTGCCCCGGGCGGCCCCGGGGACGAATGGCCGCGTTTGTGCAGCGGTTGTAAGCAAGATGCGGTAGCACGTGACCCTGGAACGCAAACCCTGATGCCGGTTCTCCACCACCCGTGTGCGCTTTTCTCTGACACTTGGCCCCCAGCAGATGCATCACAGGTGAGTAGCTTGGTGAGCTCAGCGTTGGTGACATCTTTGGAAAACATTTGGCAAATGAGACTTAAGAGTGCTTTTGTTTTTGGTGCCATTGGGCAGGTTACAGGTGCGATTGGCAAGTGGGTTTGTCCCAAAGGGAACAAAACATCCAGAAACCAGTATTGGGTTGAATATACTCATTAAATTTGATTTACTCCAAATGTGAGTAGTTGTTCCGAATAGCCAGTACGTCGATTGTTGGCTCGTTGGACATCTTTATCCTTGCCTTTGAGTTATTTGCGTGTTTAATAATATTTTTATCTGGATTTCGAAGTGTGTTTTTAGCTCAAAACCATGTTTCACCTTGAATTTTGCTGGTTACTGTCTGGCTTGGCTGGTAATGTAGAGAAATTAAGTTATTAATTGTGCAGGCTCCGTGTTAATGTTGAAAGTACTTTGTGGTACCATGCCACTACAGTACAGAAGTGTGCCAAAGAAATAGTTACATTTGTTCATTCTTTATGAGCCCTTTCATAGGCTGTATGTTGAGGATAAGGAAGATTAAAAAAAAGTTCATCCAAATTACTGAAACTGTCCATTGCATTTGCAAAGTGGCTGCATTTCAGTTAGCTTCTTATGTCATTCTAAGAAAAAGTCGTAAGATCAACAAATGGTTCATACATATGTCACATAAACTAGAGAAGATGAAGGATATGATTCTACAATGAATGCATAGGGAAGAAGAGCGAGCTTAGTATCTTGATTCTGGCCCTTCTCCCAAGATTGCTTCCTAGCATCCCATATGAGAAAAGGAGCTAGAATAGAATTGCACTTTGGAATGAGGGAGTCTTTTGAGGCTCATACTGTAAATTCCCTTCATCTGCTTTCTCTCTGTGGGATACTAGTTACCTTTGGTTTATGGCTGCTGAGATCATCACATTTTAGTGACTCACAGCAAAGCAGAAATCTGCTGAGCCTCTCACATTAAACTCCTGTTTGAACTGGTTTGAGAAGGCCTAAGAGTCAACCTAGAAGCACCGTTTTGATTTTTATCTTGAGATGAGGTGCACAGATTAATACTCAGAAATTTTCAGCATGGAATTTGAAGCTACAGACTTTTAATTGTACTTAAAAAAATTATCGTAACCATTTTTTTGTAGGTCATTACTGCTTCAGTGGTTCTAAAGTTTTAGTTAATGTTTGTAGCTATAAAAAGTCACAGGAAAAGTCTGTTTTAAACCACCCCAAACCCAGAAACCTTCAAAATTGTTAGCTATCGCTTCTTTAGGCTATAAGGATTTTTGCATTCTTTTATAGCATAATTAAATACTGTTATTAATGTGCTGTCTTTCATAAGGTGTATCTCATTTGCCATGGGATGCTAGTTGTCTTTCTAGTAAAGATGAGTTTGCATTGCTTCATCCAAATCAAATATATATTTCAGAATGCCTACTCTATATCGGGTATCGCCCTCAGCTTTGTACACTTTATTAACGTCTGGGAGCCTAGTTGTATGAGATACCTAGCCCGGAGTAAGGTTGAAGCTTATGGATAGAGAATAATTCAGGAATAGGTCTATGTGGGACTTTAAACATACTCCACAATATAAATACACAGATCATAAGTGTTGGAACTGTAAAAGGCAAAAAGTTTCTTTTATTGTAATTCTTTTTCTAGCCATAGTTAAGAGTTTAGATTTCTTAAATTAGGCAGACCTGGACTTAAATGCCAATTCTGCGACTTACTAGTTTCTTAAATTAGGCAGACCTGGATTTAAATCCCGACTCTGCCACTTACTAGTTAATGTAATTTTGGGTTAAGTTTCTTAGCCTGAGTCTCAATTTTCTCATCTCTAAAATGGGATTAAGAATAATACCTACCTCACAGTAGTTATAAGGATTAGGTGAGGTAATTACGTGTTATCACTTAGCCCAGTGCCTAACACCTAAGGTAAGGGAGTAATAAGTATTAGTTATTATTATTTTCACGTTGATTGGTAGCTGATATTGCCATTTTTCAGATTAAAAACCTATTAAGTTTTGCCTTCACTGCTAAGGAGTGTGTAGACCGATTTGACTCCCCTTCCTGTTCTTCACCCCTCCCTTGTACATAGGTGCACGCGCATGAACTTGAATCACTGATAACTCAGTATAAGCATTGGAGGTCACTGGTGACCTCCTTTGGATAGCCTGTTGGCTGGCCTCTTGAAGTTGTTTATAATATGGCAGTCTCTAAATTCTGACATAGGAACTAATACTGATAACAATCTCTAGTAATATCTCATTCAAATCAGTATACTCTTATTCTAATGACTTTGTCAGTGGCACTACAAGATGGATTTTATGGAAAAAGCAGTTCTCAGATTCTTCACAAAAATGGTCTCTAGAAAAAAAAAGTTTGGTGTATTGAAAAACTTTCTGACAGTATTTTGCAACATGATCTGTGTTATTTCATTGCTGTGTGATTTGGGGCATATGACAAGCCCTCTTTGAGCCACTGTTTCCTTGGTTACCTTATTTTGTAGAATTGGTGAGCAAATATGAAGTAATTTTTTATAAAGTAGCTAGCAAAGCTTGCCTAATGAACCTTGATATGTGGAGGATATTACTAAAATTATTGATTAATTATTAAGGTATCTATACAGGATTTTAATAAAATGCTGATCCATGGAGAAGATATGGTGCTTCTTTATACGATTGGTAATCTAATTCACACCCAGTATCACTTTAACTCCTGGTAAAAGGAATTAGTAAAAATTCTTTGAGTAAGTTAAAACAGACTGTCTATAAAACTCCTGGTTTAAAGTAATAAGCCGGTTGGAGAAACTAAATACTGTGAAGGAAGAAACTTAGGTGAATTTAAAAAACAAACCTTTGTTGCCAGTGTGCTCTAAGGATTGCAAACTTTGCTTTAGATAGTGTGCTTAGGGTTTGGAACGAGGCACACCTGAGTTAAATCCTGTTTCTGCTATATGATGGCTGAGTTAACATCTCTGAACCCCAATGACACTAGTCATCAGGGAGCTGTGAGCATAGAAATGAAGTCATAGTTGGTTAAGTCCCATTTCCCCACCTCCATTGTTTCAGGTTCTTCAGTACCTTAAACAGAGTCACTGAGGTAATTTTTTGCATAACTGGTTGTGTCTGCTCTTTCTTAGGATGAATGAAATGAACCTGAGCCCAGTGGGGATGGAGCAGCTGACTTCATCCTCTGTGAGCAATGCCTTGCCAGTCTCAGGGAGTCACCTGGGGTTGGCTGCCTCACCCACTCACAATGCCATCCCAGCCCCAGGTGAGTGGTAAGGGAGAGTGACTGAATTTTAGCACTTAATTGCATTATCAGTTCTAAATGGAGCCTACAGGGGGGTGAAAGCCCCTTTAAGAGTAGAAGGGAGAAGCCCAGCAGGTCTAACTGGTGGTTCCACATGTGGCAGCAATTTTTCTAGAGTACTGAAGTCCTAGTGGATAGAATAGGAGTAGCGGTTTTTTTCTGGTTGTTCTCTTCTTGGGTTAGTGGCCTTTTGTCTGTAGAGCTGTAGTTGATTTGGCATTTTATCTAGGGTTACCCATTCATCTGTTTTGCCCCTTGGCATTCTGTCCCTGGGTTATTAGGAGAGAATCAAAGTTACTGTAATAACTATTCCTAGAACACATGGGAAATTCAGCTTTATTTTCTATGATATCAAACTGGCAACAGCTGCAAACACACCAGGCCTAGAATTATGGTCAAAGAGGAGGTTTCAGAGATGGAGCTCCTACGTAGAACTCCCCCTGAGCCTCAGTACTGGGACAGAATAATAGTATAGGAAAAGCTCATTTTTCCCCATCGCTGTACTTTTAAAACCTTTTTATCTGGCTAGTTCAATTTTTTCTTTCTACTGAAATAGAAATGAAACAAGTAAGCCATTGAAACTTACTTGAAATGAAACAAGTAAGCTATCTTACCGTGGCAAGATAGTGATTCCTCGGTCTTTGACATTGTAATGTATTGGATTTTATCAAAGTAAGAGTTAATGTTTAAGAGTATTTTAAATCTATTAAGTTGTTTAGTTCTCTATAGAGAATTACCTGCTTAGTTACTAATATGCAGCCGTTAAATAAGGTTTGTCTAAACTAGGGTGTCTTCACATTTCTTTTAGTGTCCACAAAAGAAATTTTTAAAAAAAGTATTACTTCTTAACTCATTTGATTATCTCTTAGGCATTCCATTTAGTGGACACTCTTATTGAGGAGGAAGAACCTATTAAAAAATACTGCCACTGACAAAAACAATGCGAATCAGCACTGCCCAAGTTGGTGATTGTTCATTATGATACGTAGGCACAGGGTCACTTTAGCACTTGCGGATAGATATAGTCCAAGGTAAATATAAAGTACAAATTTTTAAAAATCATGAAGTACAGCATATATACAAAAGATTATATGAAAATATGTATGTACAGTTTTACATTTAGGTTTACATTAATTTCCAAGTAGAAGCATTTTTTAAAAAATTAATTAATTAATTTTCTTGGCTGCATTGGGTCTTTGTTGCTGCGCCCAGGCCTTCTTGTTTTTGTTTTTGTTTTTTGCGGTACGCAGGCCTCTCACTGTTGTGGCTTCTCCCGTTGCGGAGCACAGGCTCCGGACGCGCAGGCTCAGCGGCCATGGCTCACGGGCCCAGCCGCTCTGCGGCATGTGGGATCTTCCCGGACTGGGGCATGAACCCGTGTCCCCTGCATCGGCAGGCGGACTCTCAACCACTGCGCCACCAGGGAAGCCCCCAGAAGCCCAGAAGCATATCTTTTTTTAAGTGAAACGTTCTCACCATATAAAATGGAAAATATAGTAAAGTGCAAAAATAAATTAAAAAACTCTGGGGACTTCTCTGGTGGCACAGTGGTTAAGAATCCGCCTGCCAGTGCAGGGG